TCTAGGTTGGAGGTCAGCTAGTAGATTGGAGGCCGTCGATTCTAGTTCGAGGTCATTGCTAGTAGGTTGGAGGTCATCGCTTCTAGGTTGGAGGTCATTGCTAGTAGGTTGGAGGCCGTCGATTCTAGTTGGAGGTCAGCTAGTAGATTGGAGGGCATCGCTTGTAGGTTGGAGACCATTGCTAGTAGATTGGAGGCCGTCGATTCTAGTTGGAGGTCATTGCTAGTAGGTTGGAGGGCATCGCTTGTAGGTTACTAGTAGTAAGGCACCTGTTACTACTAGCTTCTTGTTACTAGTAGTAAGGCACCTGTTACTACTAGCGTGGCACTTGTTCCTAGTAGCGTCCTCTTTGGCCTAACCTTCCCCATGAAACACCGAACTCGCCGCTCCATATCTGTGGTGCCGCACGATCGGGATCCAGGAGCCAAAGGTCGAGGGGTGGCAACCAGCATGTACCTGATGATAAGAAGAGCGACGCAAAGCACAAAAACAAACAAAAGGACCAGCACAAACCGGCAAACATAGAACCACAGCCCCTAGTAGCGTCCTTGCTCCTAGTAGTATGGCCAGGAGCCCCTAGTAGCAAGCATAGAACCACACATGAATCAATTCTGCATATTTAACAGTATTGCAACAGCTTGATGACCTTGTTGAAGTGGTTGCGCACGCACCGAAGGCACTGTAGTCTACTAGGGACATGGCAAAGACCTTGTGCAAGAATGCAACTTCAAGTTGAAGCTTGAAGCAGCTTCACAACCGAAGGTACTTCAAAAAGACACGACGGTGATATTTCAAGGACGAACAAGGTATCTGGACGGTACTACAATCTAGAAACCAAATCATTAGCGTGAGCCATCCTGTGTCCTAGCTAGGAGCGAACTTCTTCCTTACTTAATTAAGTAGGCTCCTACTCGCGTCCTTGCTCCTAGTAGCGATGCCAGGAGCCCCTAGCAGCGTCCTTGCTCCGCAACAAAGAAAAGCAGGGCGGCTCGATGAGACAAAGTTCAGGACAGCACCAAAGTAAGCCCCAAACGCTACTAGGAGCAAAGGGCATCGCTACTAGGAGCAAGGACGCCACTAGGGGCTCCTGGCCATACTACTAGGAACAAGAAGCTATTAGAAACAAGAAACAGAATTAGAATTAAGTAATTAGTAGCAAAGGAGGCTACTAGGAGCTTCTCACGGCTCGATGAGACACAGTCGTAAGGACAGCACCAAAGTAAGCATGGGCCCCAAACATCCTTTCTGCACACAAGTTCCTGGAAGAAAGGATGTGGGCGTCCAAAGCGTTAGGAATCCGAACGAATGTGGCACGAATGTGGCCCAAATGGAACAGGGTGTCTCGCGTCTTCGCGTCTTCACCAGCGCCATGCACGTTCGCACCAAAGTTAAAGCTTGCAGCTTTCAATACAACGTATTCATTGACAAAGTTGGGTTCTGCTCTCCTCGTGTGCCAAAAGTGAACAATGGAATGCTGCAAATCACGCAAATGATGTCAGACCTCAGTCAACAAACAATTGAAGCAACAAGTAACTAGAACAATTTAATTAGGGCAGGTAGGAAGCCATTGCTATTAGGTTGGAGGCCATCAAGTCTTTTCCCTCCACTTGAGGTGATACAGTGAAGTCATGTAAAACCAAAAAAGGGATCTCCTTGTCGTTAGTGGGCAGGTTAAGGGCAAAACTTGCAATAGCAAAGGGATCTGGGAGCGTTACATCTCAGTGTCTTAGCACCCCACGAAGTTGTGAGAAAATGCATTGCATAGACCTGACCATGACGCAAACGGAATAGAGTTGCACGCAAAGGCGCTTCGATCAAGTCGTTGTGAGGTTGAAAGCGCACCGAGTATCCAGGGACATTTCCTTGGAGCACAGCTGCAGTCCGGATGAGGGCCAATACCTCGGAAAGAACGAACTCAAAGAAAAGTAAAGAAAGACGGCTGAAAAAGCTCCTAGTAGCTACTTGCTCCTCGTAGTACGGCCAGGAGCCCCTAGTAGCTTCTTGTTACTCAAAGAAAGCCTTAAAGAAACACACAAGAAACACGACAAACACATGCTAAACAAACAACTCGACTCCCAGTGCTGACCCTTCTGTCGCCCACCCCCGATACACCCGGATAGGCCCGCACCATGAGGCCAAGAATGGCACACCTGAGGCCCACAAACGGTTTGGAGAATTGAATATGGCGATCTCGGCGATGTACATCTTATACTAGGTTGGAGACCATCGGTACTAGGTTGGAGGCCATTGCTATTAGTTTGGAGGCCATCGCTGTTGGAAGCTACTGCCTTAAGTTTCCCTAAATATCTAGGAACCAAATCATGAGTGCGAGCGCTTCTTCAAGGAAGCTTCCCGCGCCGCCCGACAAGGGGTCAGGGGGGAGTTTCCTTGAAGAAGCGCGAGCTATCCTGCGTCCAGTCGGTAGTAGCTACTTAAACTACTAGCTACCTCTAGCTACTAGCGGCCTACCCCCCCTTAAAAAAGGAACACGATACTAGTAGTAATGCCCTTCGTTACTAGTAGCGTCCTCTACCCCCCCCCCGCGCGTGCGAAAAAGCTCCTAGTAGCCTCCTTTGCTACTAATTACCAAATTTAACTAAAAATAGACTTAATTCTAATTCTATTTCTTGTTTCTAATAGCTTCTTGTTACTACTAGTAAGGCACTTGTTACTAGAAGCGATGCACTTGTTACTAGTAGCTTCTTGTTCCTAGTATGGCCAGGAGCCCCTAGTAACGTCCGATCGCTCCTAGTAGGTCGTGTCTCCCGAGTCGGATCGTTCGTGCCTCCCATGCAGCATCGGTTTCTCTATGATCATTCCAACCTGTTTCACTTTCGACTGAATCGCTTACTTGAAGCGCAAAGACCAAATGATCATGGAAGCTTGCTTCCCTCTCTCAGAAAACCTGCAGTTCACATCAAGAGGAAAACATCAAGAGTGAAAAAGAAGGAAGGAAGCAAAACAGAATGGACGGAAGGTTAAAAAAAGTAAGGAACGGGTCTAAAGGTCTAAAGAAAAACAAAGAATTCAGGAAACATGAGGAAGAACACACCATTGCTATTCGGTTGGAGGCCATTGCTAGTAGGAGCAAATAGCTACTAGGAGCAAAGGGCATCGCTACTAGGAGCAAGAAGCTACTAGGGGCTCCTGGCATCGCTACAGTACTAGGAGCAAGGACGCTACTAGTAACAAGAATTCAGGAAACATGAAAAATACATATTCTGCCGCCTTGGCATGTGCGATGCGGAGGCGGCTCTCAAGCGCTCGCCGCCTTGCTGTCCGGTCTGAGGGCAGCTCACCCACAAGCCTGGCTATAGAGACCAACACAGGAACACACAAAAACGCGAAGAATGGACAGTCTTGTTTGGAAAAAGCCAAGAAAACATGGTCTGAAGAAAGAACGACGAGTCTAAAGGTCCAAACACACAAAAACAGGTCTTGGAAACCGAGCTCTCGTTAACTCCTTTCCAGTTCCTTTTTCTTGAATACGTGTTCCTGAAATGCCTAACGGATCCTTTCATACTCTTTTTCAGTGCTCAACATGGTCGCAGCAGGATAGAACAAGGCGGCGTGCTGCGCGAATATGTTGTTCAAACGACTTGTTGAACAGTCTCACACCTCTACTGAAATGCATGGACACTCGAAGCACTAAAGACTGAGCACGGACCAAATGGAAAAGCTGACTAAAGGCAAAACTTCATCCGCCAGCCTTGCAAATGCTTAATGGATTAATGGGAGGTCCTCTTCACCCCCCCCCGACACCGTAGCTCTTTGTCCTAAGAAGCACGAGCTATCCATTTCGTTTTGTCCTAAAGAAATGGACCAAACGAAAGGTTCGCTTTTGGGAGAAGGCTGAGAACCATCCGACTGTTGCCCTTCGAAGAATGCTTTCAAAACAGAACGTTGCCCCTTGATCGCCTCGGAAGGTTCCTGGGATGGGCTTCTTTTTCGATCTCCGGCCTCATGTGGCGGGAAAAGGAAGAAAGGCTGGAAGAAAGCGCGACAAAAACTAGAGAAACAACACAACAATAAAAGAAGGAAGGTCTGAAAGGGTTTTCTTGAAAAAGAAGAAACACAGAATGGACAAAGGACAAAGATGGACAAACACAAAGAACACGTATAGAGAAAAAGGTCTGAAGGGCTGCATTTTCAATCCAAGGGACCCATCGTCGTCAAACAATGGAGACCTTGGACATCAGTTGTGCAAAGGCTTCAAGCGACTCTACTTGAAACTTAGCTACAAATAGCGTCCTTGTTACTAGTAGCGATGCCAGGAGCTACTAGTAGCGTCCTTGTTACTAGTAGCGATGCCCTTTGTTAGTAGCTTCTTGTTACTAGTACCAATGCATTTTCCAAATTTGAGACCCAAAAAAAACTGGACTCAAACGGTCGGCTTTCTAAGCCGTCCAAAGTGAATATGGTTGCTGCTTTGTCTTTAACAACCCCTGCCACGATAAAAGACTGACAGCTGCAACAAAGTCGCTGCTCTTCTTGGACAGGCCTCAAAAACTTCCAGTACTTCCAGCTCTGTCTTTCATCGATTCATCCACACAAACCAAGACTTAAGAGCTAAACCCACCCGGCTGATGTCCAGGTGCTCCCTCAGTGAATTTGTCAAACATGTGATCAGCTGCCCGGGTGTCTGCCATGACACGATGTTTGCTTCTACTTCTTTTGCTTCCAAATCTATAGGGAAACTTAACTAATAGGAGCAAGGACACTACTAGGGGCTCCTGGCCGTACTACTAGGAGCAAGAAGCTATTAGGAACAAGAAGCTACTAGTAACAAGTGCATCGCTTCTTGTAACAAGCTAAGTTGAGGTGCCCGACGCGTTTTCGATAGCTGCGTTTTCAGTGCGTTTTGTACATCTTGGGGTCGCGTTTTCCGTAGGTGCGTTTTCTGTGCGTTTCCTATGGGGCTGGCAAAGCGCAAAAACACAAAATGCTTCATACGCCGAATCTCCTTTGCGCCAAGCCAGGGAGAGTGTGTGTGTGTGTGTCGGATATGGTCCATCCAAAATGCTTTTTCCCAATTGCAAAAGAAGCAAAAGGCATCATCAGCCGAATCTCCTTCATGCCATCAGTCGGGAGAGAGAGAGAGAGAATACTGGGCTGGTCTTACGGTTCCTCTTAGCGGGGAGGCAAGCGCCCCCACCAAGAAATGCTGTCGTGTGGTGGGTGCGGCTTACTGCTCCAGCCCTGCACGAGGAAACCAGCCCCCAAAAAGGGAATCTCTTTGCGACAGAAGAGAGGGAGAATCTGTGTGGGAAATGGTCCACCCAACCTGAGAAGCTGCAAAACGAAAGCCAGCGCTTCCCCTTTTCGACAACTGCGCGTGGAAGCAAGCAGAGAAGAGGCATTGCTGCAAGGCCTAGTATCGCCATGGACACAAAGCGCTACAACCAAGTTCCTCAATTTGTGGGGCTCGAAACCCCTGCGTTTCGAGCCCCGCAAACCCCTTGCCATGCGAGCACCAGGCCGCATGCGTCCACCCAAGTACACTTCGTGTGCTATGAATTTTTACAAGTCTGGAGAAGGAGGGCCGACGGGTACAGAACCAGTAGAGATTATCCAATGATCGGCGTTTTAGAACAGATCAATCAAGTTCCCCGATTTGTGGGGCTCGAAACAGTAGCGTTTCGAGCCCCACAAACCCCTTGCCATGCGATCACCATGCCGCATGCGTCCAGCCAAGTAGGCCCACACCACCGCGTAACCTCTGCGCAACTACTTCTCTTTTAAAGCTTTACGTCGCTTGGCCACCGACTAGCCTAGACACCCTTTCCGTCATGTTTCTCACATCGCCTACGACAAACTCTTGGGACCAGTTGAAGGCCGTCTGTCCTTCTCTGTGACAGGCTATCTCGTTTCCTCTGTCAACGCCGATTATGCTGACTTCGCCAACCACAGGCGACGAAGACATGAATTTACATCGTGCTGGAGAGTCACGTACAACAAAGGACTTTAACGTCTCTTTTTACCTGTGCTTGGTCAGTCTAGCGACTTCTGATGACGTCAGAGATCCTAGCCATGCGAGGACCTCCAGTACCTCGTTCTTCCGACATGTTCGACTCTTTACGTCATTAGCACGCTTTTGTGCTATACCTCTTACACACCTGTGGATTGCTGTGCGTGTGTAGAGGTTATCGAGCGGTTGACGGAAAGGGAACTTGAAGTACTATACCTGGTAGCTGCACTATAGCTACCCTGGGTCTC